TATATGTAAGTCAATAGAAGTTAAGATTTTATTGTTATTACGGGTTCTCTCTATAACAATTGTTTAAAAAATTAATTAATAACTCAAAACATAATAGGCTAATGGACTATGTCTCTAGTCATAAAATAAAACTACACACACACATACATTACGTTAAGTTTTAAATTAGATATACACACTATAAATGGCAACACTGACTTTCAACGAACCTATGTTGACACGTCACCAATAATTTGTCATTATACAGTGGTTGTTTAAAGCAATAAAAATGTAGATTTTTAATTTATTTTTGCAAACAACATATCTGTTTCTACGCTTGCAGTAAAAGTTCTAATAATAAAATGGTTTTAGGGTGGTAATTCTGAACAACAATGTGTTGATTTATTTTCTGTGTTTTTTGAGTGGAGACCAATTCCTTGAGTATAGTCAGGTCATAATATTGTTAAAACTTTTGAGAGTTGTCTTTTATTACCTCAAAAATTGCAGAAAATGTTACGCTCAATACCGGTATATACAAATTTGTGCAATAATCAAGTCAGATTCAACACGTTCAAGTAGAAGCGTTGCTAGGGAGTTAGATGTTAGCAATGTTACTGTAACGAAAGTGTGGAAAAAGCACGGTTACGGTTACAAGAACTTTAAATATTCGAAAACGCAGCAGTTTTATTCAGGCGACTACTTTCAATGAATGAAACTCTAATAACGAAGGCTAATGGTGGGCGCTATTGGGCGCGGAAAAACCAGCACAGAAGGGTTGGGTTGAGTTTAGCGAAAGTACAAGCTGAATATAGCCGCAAATGTCAAAAATATTTCGGTTTGGCAGTGTTGGCATATAATGCATATGTTGTATGCTTCAAATATAACGAGATAAAGCTTTTAAAAGCACATTTTGATTATACTATTTTATGAATTCTGCAATTTTTAATTTATATCAAGCAATAACGAGTAGATATTCATCTCTTTCGATATTAATTGCAAACATCTTTTGTAATATAACAACTGCTGATTTGACGAATGCCAAATCTATCCCCTAATCAATCAAAGGGCAATTTCTAAAAAAAATTCTTATAATTAACTGCAATTAACCTCCAAAGAAATAAATATTTACTCATTGTTGTTTTATATCAATCAAAAATTGCAGAATTCATAACATAATTTAAACAATATGTACTTTTCGAAAGCTCTATCTTTTTATATTTGAAGCATACAGCATCTACATTATAAAAACATGCCAACACTGCCATTTGACATATGCGGCTATAATTAGCTTGTACTTTCGGTAAACTCAACCGAAGTCTTGTTTGCCAAACTTAACGTCCTCAAAAGGGACGTAATAGGTCCATTTTTTATTGAGGTAAAATTGAATAGTAGAGTATACCTGGATTTGTTACAGAATCATATTCTTCCCGCTATTCTTAATCTTCCTTATGTAACTCTGGAGAATGTATGGTTCAGTTCTCATAACGCTCGAATAATTAGGGAGTACTTAAACAATATTTTCCCGAATCGAGTTATCAATGAAACAGGCGATATTACACCGATGGACTTCTTTTTTGTTGACATTTAAAAGCATCATCTACGTATTTATACATCATATTTCTGTAGGGCAAAACGAATTATTTCTTATTTTATTAGGAATTATTTTTTATTTTCAATAAAGCTATATTTCTAATTTTATCTTTAAAAAAAATCCTTTTATTTTTTATTTAACAACAAAAATTGTTTACATTATTAAAAACCGATACAAATGCACCGCTTTAAAATGGTTAGTGTGTTTTTATCGAGTTTATCTTATAGTAAATAAACCGGATATAGGTACATATCCCTTGCGTTGCTATATGTTATTAAATTGTTTTCGTTTTCTATATAGGAGTCTCAGTATGAGTAGGCGCTCATAACGAGGCGCCGACAATCGCTCTGACCATAGGATCGTGCCATAATCGATTGATAGGTAAAATAAATTCATTATTTTAAATGCGATCGTTTACTGTCAATACCAGGGTTGCCAGATGATTTTTTTTTAATTCCCTAGAATTTTTACCAAAATTTCCCTAGATTTCCCTAACAACTTGACAACCATATTTAGATTAGAATGGTCCACCTCAGTCTGACGTCAGAATTAGCGGGTTTTTTAAAAACCTTACCAAACATTTCTAATTTGTGTATATTGGTCACATAACAAGTTGGAAATATTGGTTTTTTAATTATTTGTAGAATAAATAACGACTTTTGGTTATGAACATTCATTCTCTGCGATTGGTATTATTTGTTGTTCGTGAATTTGTGAGGTAAAAATCCTCCTCAATCTTTTCTCCTTCGTAAGGATGTAGTGGCGTCATATAATTTGTTTAACTATTTCTGTCTAATTATCTCTCTCCTGTGCGTGTTATTTTGCTTCGGGGAATGAGTAACCAGTCATCTTCTTTATTTGGTCCGACCATCGTACTGGAGATCTTCCTCTGGATCTTTTGCCCGCTACGTTACCACCGAACAACGTTACCTTTAACTATTATTCGCTCCATGCCTTCTCTTCTTCTAGTTATATGTCCAAAATATCTCAATATATTTTGGTTGATAGTTGTGATGCGTTTAGTTGTTATGTTAAATTCTGTTAGAATTGTTATTTGTGCGATGGGCGGTCTATGGTATCCGCAACATTCTATGGTAGACCCACATTTCAAATGCAATAATGTTTTGAATCGGCGTTTTTTATTGTCCAAGTTTCTGAAGCATAGGTGGCGATAGAAAATATCAATGTTTGAACAAGGCGTAATTTTGTGTTTTTTGTGATGTCAATGTTCTTCCAAATTTTTGTGTGTTTGGCTGTTGCCGATCTGGCCATTGTGATGCGTCGACGGATCTCGTCTTCGCATCCTCCACTGTCAGTAATAACGGAGCCTAAGTAATTTAATTGCCTGACCACTTCGTAACCTGCCATGTTTCTCATCTCTGGTTGGTTGTTTCTGAACCTATCGATGATCATCACTTTGGTTTTCTGCATATTTATTTAAAACCATATTCCGTATTCCCGTGCCTAGCCCATTTATAATTTGTTTCAGTTCTTCTGGTGATGACGCCAATATAACAGTGTCATCAGCATAACGTCGGTTTTTGATTTTTCTTCCTGCTATCGTTGCTTCACCTTGCCATTCCTTAAAAACTTTATGCATAATATGTTCAATATATACCTTGAATAGAATAGATTTTATCTATTCTATTCAATGTATATAGTGTCCCTGTTCCCATCCCTGTCGAACTTTAGGTTTTAATTTGAAGTTTTTAGAAATCACATTATTAACTCTTACATTAGCAGTATTATTTACATAAAGTTTTTGTAATAAATAGATTAGATATTCTGGAGTACCTATTTCTCTAAGTATATGCCACATTTCTCTCTCGAGATTTTTCGATAATTTGACGAATATTAAGAATATGTTCTCTTGTTCCTCTACCTGGGACGAATCCGCATTGTTCTTGAGGAATTTGTGGTAAGAGAATTAATTTTAGTCTTTCATTGATGATGGTTAAAAGTATTTTGCTCGCGTGCGGTAATTGCTGCAATCTACCGGTGAACTTTTTTTATATATGGGAATAAACGTGAGTTTACCCCACTCATTTGGTCACTTTCCGGTATTCCAAATCTCATTGCAAATTCTAAGCATTACTTCCATCCCTTATTCTCCCATTTCTTTGAGTGTTTCAGCTGTTATTCCATCTTCTCCTTCTGCTTTTCTGGATTTTAGCTTTTTAATTGCTGCCTCAATTTCTGATATCAATATTTGGTTGTTTTTGGTAGGTTGTTTTTCATAACTTCTTTTCTCTGTATTATTGTCTGGGTCGTTTTTAGAGAATAGTATTTGGCAATATTGTTTCCACACCTCTGCGATACCGTCTGGGTTTATTATGAAATTTTATACTATTATCTTTGATAATATGTGTTTTTGGTTTGAATTCTCTTGCTAGATACTTGCCTTTTGAGAAAAGTTCTCTACATTCTTGGTGGTCAGCATGTTCCTCTAGTTGTACACATATGTTTTTAATATAACTATATTTGTCCCTTTTGTGTTTTATAGTTGTATTTATGGTAAGAAGGGGTAAGAATATCAAAGTATTAAGATATTTTAGCCCAGGTGGATCCCCGACGTAATTCGCCCTTTGTGAAATACCACAACTCTAGTCACCGACGGAGAATGACTTGACGGTTAGAGAAAGAGAAACTGGAAAACAAAAATCGCCCGAGGCCAATATAAACGTAAGCCCAGGTGGATCCCCGACGTCTTTCGCAGTTCCGACGGGAAATCACATGAACAGAATTCAGTGATTCCCCGAATAGTACGATTTTCAAGTAGATGATATATGTACAATTTTGGAAAGTTTATTAAATCCAACTGATTTTTTAAAATAGTCTTACAAATATTAAGAATTCCCTAGATTTTTCATAGAATTGAATAAAAAACACTTTTTCCCTAAGCTAGCTCAAAATTCCCTAGGTTTAGTGAAAATTCCCTAGGTCTGGTAACACTTAGCGCTAGGAGAGAATACCATGCGGTGGACTCCGTTATGAACGTACCCTAAGGCTAAGGTGTCGGAGGGGATCGGAAAATTACAATTACCTCGTACAAGGCAATGTTACCGATTTTAGCGCTTTTTGTAGTTTGCAATATCTAATCCAAAACTTAACCTACTGTATGTATCAAAAGACTAAGTTTAGTCATTTAACCTCAAATGCCCTACAGAAATGATTTTACCTCAAATATTAAGCTTTTTGATGGTAAGCAAAAAGAGTTAATAAATAAAAAAAATCTTATACGTTATATAGGACTCTAATGACTAAAAAAAAATTCAGATACCTGGATTTGTCACAGTCCCGAGAGAAATCTTTTTTCCGCGAGTTAATAGTATTATAAACTTTACAACTAATATCTATATAATACACTGGATTAAATTCATGTAAGTTGAAATAATAATATATTACAAAATATTGAAATGTAAAAATTTACCATTTATGACATTGAGCTTCCACATTTCGTTTTCTTTATTGCCAGTTGTACTGTTATAGTCAGCTAGTTTTTTATCATATTTATTTAACAGCTGTTGACTGTCAGTCAAGTGTATTTTTAACTTTTCCAAATTGTCCGATGATTTGTTATGCAAATCTTTAACTTTTTGGTTGTCTGTCTTAACTTTAGAAACTTCGTTTTCGATTTTTTCTATAGTATTGGCAACTTTGTCGATTTTGTTCATCACCTCTTTTTCCATTTTCTCAAAGTCTTTCTTCGACATTAAAGGTTCCGTGATCTCAGCAGGAGGTTCATAATCTGAAATCTAAAATTGCGGAAATATAAATGTTTAGATTGGATTACATTGTTTTAGTAAACATGTGTGATAATGGAAATTACTTTTTTATTTAGCTGATAAACCAATGGACGTATATTAAAAATTACTAAACTTTTTTCATCGAACATTTAATATACTGTATTAATTGCAAATAGGCAGAACCAGTTCCAAAATTGAAGTAACTAGGCAGTACATTGAATGAAGATTGAAGTAATTCACAGAAAACAAATGATATCAGAAAAATGGTAAATCTAACAAAATTTCAATCATCAAATTTGAAATCTCCATATTGTAGAATCAGTGGCGCACCCAGGATTTTCCTGAGGGGGGGCTCCGAAATTTTTTTATGTTACCTTCATTTTGAGTCCCTAAAATTTGGGTTTTAGTTTAATTTAAAGTACTAAAGATTCAGGATTCAGGTTTATTAACACATTATGAGCGGGCGATCTAGCACGGTCAACAATGTTGCGTAGCGGGCGAATATACAATGTATACGCCCGGATACATAAAAGTTTGAGAGTTGTTACTTAAAAACTAAGTTTTTGAAAAAATATAAGAATAAAAAATACCTAGTTCTAGGTGGATTGCTAAAATCCGTGTAAGTACTTATATTCAGAAGTTCGTAGAGTTCTGGGTGATTTTATCACTTGTTTTATAAAAATATTACTAATTCGTTTTAAATTAAAAAAATACATGAGAATGAAAAAATTCATACAATAAATTCTACTTTCATATTACCAATAATCGGATTAGGGTTACCAACTTTGTAGGATAATTGTAGGTGGAATGTATTTGGCTGATAAAAATATTCCTCATTAGTTGATTCTTTATGAACAAAATTTTATAAAAAAAAACAGTGAAATGTACATTTCAATAATATTGCGATACATACAAAAAAATATTCATAAAATATATAAGAATAAAACAAATATGATCAAAATTTAAAACAAAACATAATGTAAGCTACATTTCAAAAATATTTAAAGGTATACATACAGAACAATATTTAAAAAATATATATAAGAATAATTACTATTTAGGTAACGTTATACATACAATATTCAAAACATATATAAGAATAAAAAAAATATGATCAAGATTTAAAACAAAACATAATGGAAGATAAATTTCAAAAATATTTAAAGGTATACATACAGACCAATATTTAAAAAAATATATAAGAATAAAAACTATTTAGGTAATGTTATACATACAATATTCAAAACATATAAAAGAATAAAAAACATATGATCAAAATTTAAAACAAAACATAATGAAATCAACGTTTCAAAAATATTTAAAGTTACAGAATAATATTTAAAAAAAAGTTATGAACAAAGTAAAAACACAATAAAATCTACATTTTAAAAATGTTTTCATACAACAATTTTTTACTGCTTTATAAAGTTACCTGTAGTTAAGGCTAGATTCTAATATTTTTGCTGAGTATGGTACCTAAAAAAACAATCTCCACGATGTAGTGAAACTTTGCAAAATTCGCACATATAACAGATTAAGCTTTTCTTCTTATTGGCGGCACATAAACGACACTGTCTCTGAGGCTTTAGTTTTGTGGCCCCTGTAGTAATTTTTACTAATTTGGGTTTTTTTACATTTTTTGATAATCTCGCTGGAGGATCATTTCTATTGGGCGTAGCAGATGTACCTGGTACAGGATCGTCTCTGTTTTCAGGAGTAATTTCAGTAATCCATTCTTTTGCGACATCATGTAAAAATATCTTATACTTCTTTTTTGATTGTGGATTTAATGTTTTAAAAACCCTGAAAGCATTAAATACCGCGCAATTGATGAAAAACATGACAGCTCTTTTCGTCCATTTTTTGGTACGACGTACAATCGAGTAATACGATAAGTATTGGTCGGCGCGATCGACACCCTTCATATATTTGTTGTAGTCAACAACACATAATGGTTTCCAAATTCGCTCTTTTGTCACCCAGTCAATATTGTGGCTTTCTACAATATTAGCTGAATGTATACTTGATATCATTCGAACAGGTCTTTTCGATTGCCAACATTGTAATAAAATGTTTTGGCGGCGACGAAATATAGATTCTCCCCTTGTTAGTTTAGCATTTTTCAAACAAAGAGGAAGGCCTCTGTTCAAGCGAATAGTGCCACAAGTTCGAAATCTATGTTGTAAAAGTAATTCACAAGTGGCAACACTATTATAATAATTGTCCATATATATGTGATGCCATAAGTGGGAATAGGGTTCCAGTAGATTTAAAATTGTTTTTTGTAATCGACTTCCTTCTCCACAGTACATACGAAAATTACAAATGTAACCAGTTCTAGCTTCACAAACCATTCTTATAAGTAATCCGTACTTTATAATTTTTGATGCATTATAAACTTTGAATGATAGGCGACCCCTCCATGCATGATGCTTTCATCTAATGATAACTCTCTCTCGGGTTTGTAGACTTCCTGGAATTTAGGTAAGAAATAAGATATAATCGGGCGAATCTTTTTAAGGCGATTTCTGTCATCATTATTAGAGAAATTCCTCTCATTACTTCAGCAAAAATTGGGGTTTGGATAGTTTTTTCTGTAGACCAATATTCGTCTCTTGTATCCTTACGAACTCGTCCCATTAGGAGAAGTAGTCCGAGCATTTTCTTTAATTTCACCACAGTCACATCTTTCCACTTCACAGATTTTGCTCTGTCTCTAAATAAATCTGGGTTTTGTGCGCAATATCGATTAGTTTCCATCACCATATATTCAAATAAATCATCTCCAATAAATAGCTTAACCACATCTACTACACTCTCCGAATTATTTGGCATTACAAAAACTCCACTGTGTCCTAAGAATTGTTCAATAATTGGCACATTATCAGTTTCTAACCAATCAAACACTTCGTTATCACTGTCTTCAGAGTCGCTGGATGGTATTGGCAAAACTCGATTTCTTCTAGGTCGAAATAATTCCTCGTCACTTTCACTGTCTAATTCAGGAAACTCCGCATCACTTGAAATCTCCGACAAGTTATCTGCGTATACATCACTATCACTATCAGGATCCATTTTTATGAAATAGTAAAATTCAAATAAATTTATACCGTTTAAAGAAGTTTTTAATGGGGACCCCGAGAATGAAATAAAGAGCAGAGTTGAACAAGCCAGAAATGCTTTTTTGAGGCTTCGTAAGTTTCTGACTGATCGCAAATTGGACTTCAACCTCCGATACAAGATGCTTAAGTGTTACGCGTGGTCTGTTCTCCTATACGGAATGGAAGCATGGACGTTAAAGGCCAGTTCCGTTAACAAACTTGAAGTGTTTGAAATGTGGTGCCTGCGTCGAATACTCAGAATATCATGGACGGACAGGGTCAGAAATGGGGAAGTACTCAGAAGAGCGGGCTTACAGGATAGGGAACTTTTTAATTATGTAAAAAGTAAGAAGACTGCTTACTTGGGGCACATGTTACGAGGAGAACGATACACTTTTCAGCAACTGATACTCGAAGTGAAGATAGAGGGTAGGAGAGGTCTCGGACGTAAAAAAATGTCATGGCTGCTCAATATTCGACAATGGACAGAAATCCACAGCTATGAAATGCTTCGCAATGCTGCTAAAAACAGAATTATTTAATCCAGAATATTTAACATCTCACCTGACAAGACGATGTACGATGGACGCCTACGCAGAAATGCACGGCACCTTAAGAAGAAGGAAGAAGTTTTTAAAACGATAAAAATACGAGTAAATGTTCCGATATAGTTATATGAGAACTGGACATGAACAACGAGTGACCAGATGTCAGTTTGTTCGTATCAATTACTGCAATGCCTTTACATTCTAGAGTTGTCGCTTTTCCGTTTGTTCCGATATAGTTATATGAGAACTGGACATGAACAACGAGTGACCAGATGTCAGTTTGTTCGTATCAATTACTGCAATGCCCTTACATTCTAGAGTTATCGCTTTTCTATTCTTAAATTCATCACAAAAAAACTCGTAAATCTCGTTGTAACTCGTCTAAGAACACGTTGTACTGCCATAGGAGTAATAAAGTATTATAATAAACGAAATCATAATAAACAAAATGAAACACAAACCCAATATGAAGAAAATTTGAAAGACAAACAAATTTTATTATGATTACTTTGGATGTTATGTCTAACGCGTTCCTAATAATAATACATACTGTTGTATATTTATATAGTTCTGATTTATTCGTCTTTATTCTAATTTATTGTCTATAATCTAATTTATTAAAACTCACGATAGCTAATTACTAATTTATTAAATAACTTTACAAATGTATTTATTTCACGTTTCGTTACATTTAAATATCGCGGTTCCCGATCTTCTTATGACTGACTCAAATACAAAAATCTTTCATTTATATACACAACTGTTGTCATCTGGAACTTTCGGCAGACTTCCTGAATAGTCTCGTATTTTGGTGAAGGCGCTCGACTCGTTTTTCAACCTCGAGACGTGGATGACTCACTAAAATTAGTGTCTAGAGATTTCTGTAAACAACTGGTAGCTAAGCTCAGGTATATTTTGACCTACAAATTACGAGAATCAATAAAAAAGAATTAGTCATAAAATATTTACAGTTCTATATGCCATAACATTTAAAATCGTAACATTGCCCCCCTCTTAAAAGATGGTTCCTCCTGGAACCTTGTCGGGACTGGAACTGGAACGACATGCTGATATCGGCAACTGGACCCTCTTTTACAACTTCCAGTTGTATAGAAATGACAAGGGACGGTTTTCTCTCCGCAGCAGTAACTATGCGGATTGCAACAGACTAACACCTGGACTTCGGTGTCTTTAAAGATTTCCTCCACCATGTTTCGTATAACCCTCCAATCTAATTGGCGGCACTCCAACTTTGGCATGGCTAACTTTTGCACGTCGGACTCTAGTACGTGCTCTCTCAACTGAAGTAAGGCTTCCCATACATCTCGGTAGGTAGGTTGGTCACGGGCAGTGTCTTTTG